ATATAAGGAGGGATATCGTCGAAGCTCGACTGCTTGGGACTCGTGCGGCTGAAGAGAGGAGGTGACGGCTCGTGAGAAAGCTCACGTGCGCGCGTGCGACGCTATTTTGGCTGCCGCTGCTTTTCTTCGAGTTTCGGAGAAGAGAAAAAAAAACCTCGAAAGAGCTGTAGCGTCCAGCGCGCATAAGTATATAGCAGCGGCAGGCGGAAAAAGAAAGAAAAAAGTTTGAAAACTCGGTGCAACTGAAGACGCTGCGCCTCGCTTCGCTCAAGTCGTCAAGAGCAGCGGCAGCAGCAGCAGCATGTGCGCGCGGAGCTAAATGCAAGCCACGTACGGCCGACCCGAAAATGCACCAAGGCAGTGTGTGTACGTACATACATACACTACTAACCGACAAAACTTTTGCCTCGTCTGTATACGCCTACGGCACGTTTTGTTTCCAGCTCCGCCGTTGCTCGCACCTCCCTTGCAGCTGCGAGCTTTATATACTTGGCACACATGCCGTATAGCTGTGCGCCAGTGGCTTGCCTATATAACTACTACCGTAGTGGTGCGCCAGACCAGATCCTAAATAATACATGTTTATATGTAAAAACGACCTGCGCTTGGCAATACCGAAACCGCCCCAAGTACACACGTTGAATTTCCTCTCTCTCTCTCTCTCTATTTCTCTTATCTATAAAAGCCTCGTCGGATCACACGCAAAATAATTTCTCCCTGTCAAAGTGGTAAATAAAATTCCAAGCGCGTATAAAGCACGCTATTTTTCGAATAGACGACTGTACACAGTGCATTACGTACACGCGTAATAATAAGCCGGAGATTCTCTCGCACACAGTCGTGGTACATATAATATACAAAGTGCGGCGAGAGGAAATGAAATCGGAGAATTCGCGCTACTCTCCGATTTTCCACGCTACGCACACAATGACTCGTGCACGAGCTGACGGTGTTTAAACTTAAGCAGCGAAGCCCGCGCCTCGTCATCGCCGCCGAGAGCTGATATAGCCGTCATCGAGCTTTTGTGTAATCGAAGCCACTCTATACTATAAGTATATAGAGGAATTGCGTCGTCTCTGTCGCCGTCGTCGTCGTCGTCGTCGTCGTTGGATTAATCTTGGCAGGCAAGCGGCGGCTCGTACGAAATGCGCCGCGCGACGCCGTGCACACACCGTTATAGCCGGAAACTTTTTCCCTGTCTTCTTCTTCCTCCTCCTCTTCCTCCTCCTCCTCTCCTCTATACACTCTTTTTTTTGTGATTTGCTCCCTGCAGGCGCGGCAGCGGCGGTGGCGATGGCGGCGCTACGACGAACCTTTTTTTTTTTTAATGCGGCTTAATGTAATTGATGTGTTGAGGGATTAAACGCGGTAGGAGTCAAGAGAAAAAGTTGATAAATTTAGGTCACACGGCTTGGAGCGTATAGAGAGGCTGTGCTACTCGCGCCACACGCAGCGCAGCGTCGATTTCTCTGTATATATACTGACAAATCGATCGAAATTTTCCGTGATGTGTGCCGAGTTACGGCGAAGCGATATAAGAGTATCTTTATTAGTGACTCGGAGATATTGCAGCTAGATGGTCGGTTTGATATGATAGATATTTCTATATAAATTGCTATGGGGTAACTTGAATTGCTATACGATTTGAAATTATGGACCGACGCCATCTAAGGGTACAATTAGCTCCTGTTTCTAAGATATTGATAACTATGTCCTCGACTCTGACGAAATCTATTGTAACGACGTGAATTATCTCAGTCGTAATCATACAAAATCCAATATGATTATTATAGGATGAAATTTGAGATAAAAAAAAATTTATGCTTGCCTCTCCACCACTAGATGGCGAGTATCTTTGAGCACAAATCTGCAAGTAGTGATGTGAACATAATTGTATAAGTCAATAATAATTGTATAATCAAAATAGCAATGTCCCTTCAATTTGTCTGGACTATTCGCAAAGAAAATTCATAAAGAATATAAATCTCGATGCATATAAAAGTTTCGGTCCGATATTGCGATCTTGGCGATCGTTCGGACATCCCCGAGGGACCGCACCCTATATGCAGCGCGAGCGGCGCATCAACAACTTATAATCATCATAATTCCTTCGACTGCACTGCAGGAACTTTAGCGGCCGAATGCATGCATGTCCGCGTCTATGTACGACTTATACTACTACTACTACTACTTTTGCTCGAACTTTGTTTTTCGCGCGCGCGCGCGTCGTCTCGCACTCTTACGCGTTCGATCGACGAAGTAGTAGCAGCAGCAGCTCAGCAAGTTTTACGAATAATTTAACGCCATAAATTTCTTAAAAGGCGCACCGCCGCCCTGCACGCGCGCGCGCGCACCGATTAATTCAAAACACACGGCAGTTTTGGGGCACTGAGAGAAAAGGAGATATAATTCATGTTGCACGAGACACAAAGCAGTTTTTTTTTCTTTACTTCTCGAAGATTCTTCGTCGATGCTCTGAAAAATGAAGTTTCAACGAGCAAAATAACTTCGAAACTCAACTCTTGTGTGTATCGAGTTACGTGCTTGCTTTTACGAGAGGTACACCGTTAAAAATTTTTACAGTACAGACATTTTTTTACGTAGGTAAATGCACAAAAATGGAGAACGCGAATTTTCGCTTCTTTTCAAAAACATGCTTGTACTTATACTATTATTTTCACTTTGGCACTAGCAGATTTACAGATGAAGGTGTACTCGCCATCTAGTGGTCAAGGCTGGTATTAATTAAAAATTAAATTTTCATACAGTTTTTTGTTTCAATAGTACTCGCAACTCGGAAATAATTACAAAAATGTACACGCATAACTTGGAACTGGAAAATCACGCCCGCGCACAAGCCTGGATGTAAGGATCAAGGGCACATAGCTCGTAAGTAGCTCTGAATGCGATCAATCAGTTGCAATGAGCAATAACCAATTTGATGCGGCTGTGGGTTGACGGTCGTCGTGTGTACATCAATCAGCTGCGCGAGGATTCCCCAATCAAGCCGAACCAGCAGCAAGCAGCAACAGCACATCGCGACGCGCAATCGAATCATCGCGTATGCAGCCTCCGAGAGAGATGCAGCAGCAGCCACGTCTATCTCCGTGCAGCTCCTTCTCTCTCCAGCTGCGTCTCGTCAGTTTGCGTTGCTTTGCGCAATCCGCAGCGAGCCTAGAGGCTAGTCACGCCGGAGCAAGCACAATATATAGGCACGCAGCAGCCTTACTATAGTATGTATAGAAGATATAGCCCAGCTAGTGCATCGACCTCTCTTCTCTCTCTGTAGGACGATATTTTCACTACACACACCAGGCCAAGATAAATGCTGATAATCCGAGTTGGCCCAGCTACGATTCTCCAGGCCGACGCCGACGCTCGGCTCGGAGCAGCTGAAGGGTGAAGTTGCACACCTATCCTACCTACCCTCCTGCATGCGTCACGCGTCTAGCCTGTATACTTATCACGGCCGAATGCACTCAGCTCGCTCGTGTCCGACCATTACGAGGGTATAAATATTGCATAAACTGGTGTTGGAGTACACGAGTATTATCTAAGCGCCACGCATTTAATTTCACATTTGATGTAGAGAAAGCCGAGCAAAACCGCGGGAAAAGGATGATAGATTCTCTGCGAGATTGTAAATTCCATCCTTGTTGGTGTACTTTGCGTTGAGCTCTTTGACATGTTTTATGAAACGAAGCTGTTTGTACTCTTTTAAAAATATCTCATTTACATATAGTTTATATTTAAGAAATTTTAAAATCACCCCAACAAAAATAAATCCAAAAAATTTCGTCGTTACGCGAAAAAGTTGCCAACTTATTACATATAGCCGGTTCAAAATTTACCCAGCGAACTCTCGCTGGGCACAGGTATACGTGCATCGCAGTTTTAAACTTTGATAATTACCCTCCTACAATTGACAAGGTCACACCACTCTAATTATCGTGTTCACTTGTGTTTCGGGAGCGAGCACAGCATAGAGAGAGCAATTCTACACACATATATATAAATTACAAACGAGTTACTCTCTCTCTCTCTATCTCTCTCCAACTCTTCAACTTAACGCACACATGCTGCTATACGTGCGGAGAATGTGTGCCATTTGACGTGCTACCCTACACCGTGTGTATAGTAGTTCGCAGAGCTCTGCTCGGCGCGTTGCTGCTCGCGACGGCGTTACGCAACTTGCGGTTTGATTCCTGCCACCTGAAACTCGACGTTTTGTGTGTGCACATGTCCCCTGTGCTACACCCCCACCGAAAACTATACTCGCAGTTGCATACGCGACCGCCGAATATAATGTCTAATTCATCGATTCGAATTTGAAACATTTTTACGCGCTTATAAGTTATTGCATGCGAAATGTCGTAGTCGTGTTTTGCGATGTTCGAGCTCGCTCGTGCCGTTTCAGCAGCTTTTAAATAATTCATGCATTTCGAGATATATAAAATGTGAAATTTTCGGAGAGGACGATTATGTATGTATTTGTGAATTTTTCGAAACGTTCGTTGCAGTTGAGAGAAAAATTTTTTTATGCAATTTAATTTCTTTCGGCAGATTTAGAAATTGAAATGTCAAAATGCGCGATTGGCATTTCGGACGTGATGATATAATAATCCGACAAGCTACTATCGGTGTCGATCTGTATCGTGTCAGAGTTGGCAAAGGATAGGTAATGCATCATACCGTGAAAATACAAAAAAATATGTAAAGGGAATCGTGTAATAGTTAGAAATTTTTCAGCCGAGCTAATTTGTAACAGGCGTAGTCCTCCGAGAGATTTCTGACTCGTCGATTTTTCCCAGCAGCAGCAGCTGGCTCGAGAATCAAATAGCACCGGAGAAAGAGCATACTCTTTCTATATGGCACAATGCGACGATCTCTTGCCAATATATAACGACTAATTTGCGCGGAGAAAAGTTAAAAGAGCAACGATTTATTTTTTATTCGTTGACGTATCGTCACTTATTTTCTTTTGTTCGGGTAATACGTACCTTGCTGTAACCATGCGATCCAGCAGTCCTGATTAGGACCGATTTTCGATACCGGCGCGAGGCAAGCACGCCCAAGTCACTGATGATGATGTTGCCTTTTTTCACTTCATTTTTTTTTTTTTTTAAACAACAATTATAACCTAATAGGTAAATTTATAATGAAAACAATGTGAACGAAGGACACGTTGATTAATTGTAATCTCGTTCTGATTTCTTTAGTTATAACATGTTCACTATTCAATTATCACTATAAACAGCGTTGTTATCTATGTTAATAACTACTTTCTTTCATAAAATACACTCGATTAAACTTATTATGTTATAAGTCCGAAATGTCATCACTGTGTAAATTTGAAAAAAAAAATTTAATTCGCACCAATAATACGTGAAATAATTTTTATTTTTCAAACCTCACCAATATATTCAGTATAAACTTCGAAAATGTATGCCAGTCAAATTACGTTGACACTTTACACGAACGAGTTTGCAATTAAAAAAAAATAAAAAGGGAGGTAAAATCTGGCCAAAAAAACAACACTCGGGGCTGCACAGGCGAGGCGTGCACTCAACTATTACGGGCCGGTAAAAAGGTATATAGGCTGCAGTAGACGACACACGCGGCGGCGGCGGCCAGTTCGCAGGCTCACGCGCGCGGGCTACGAACGAGTACTGCCGCACTCGTCGTAGTCGGGGGTAGCAGCCCTCGAGATCCTCCGCATCCCTCCTCTCCTACTCTGCTGCTGCCTCCTACGCTTCTCGCGCTCTCTCACTCGCGAGCGCCGCTGCAGCAGCAGCCGAGCTTGTTGGCTCTCGCCAACGACAGAGAGATACGCTGCTGCTCTACTCACTGCAGTCGCCATCTCTCACGTTCTCATTTTCGCACGCGGCAGCAGCAGCAGCAGCTCTCGCCGTCGTTATAATTTTTTTCAACCCTAGTTTTCCTCTTTACGTGCGGCATTTCTTCTTCTTCTTTTTTTTTTTTTGCTTTGCGGCCGCTGCTGCTGCTGCTGCATCACTGCATGTGTGAATGAGTAGCTTGCTTAACATTTCTCGCTCTCTCCACTCCTTTTCATTCGAATGAAATGTGACAAATAATTTGAGACGAAAATAACATACACACACACGCGTGCGCGCGTTAAGTACACGTCCGCACACAAAGATGAATGAATTAGAAATTTCAAATGAAACGTTGTCATGTGCAAAACCTCAACGAAGCATGACCGAATTGTACACAGAGAGTAACGAAAAAAAAGCGAAAGAATTACGACAAAAAATGTAGAATATCAAATAGCTTGATTATTTGAAAATAAAAAAAAAGTACTTTACACTCGGCGTTGCATTTTTTTGCATGTTCATTTGCGTTAATCATGTTGGAGCGTGAATAGCAATCTACTTAATCTGAAATAATATAACTTGGTTTTAAAATATTCAGAATTTTACACTCTATAGTGCGAAATTTTAATATTATAAAAATAAAAATAAGCATTGGATTAGATAATTTTGTGTTGGAGAGCACGTAAAAATTAAAATAAATTATGCAAAAGAGGCCTTTTAAATAAAGAAAAATAATACATCAATTTTAAAGCAGCTATAAGCCCTTAATGAACTTTAAAATTTTGCAAATTTTGAGCTTTCAGATTAGATGAGAGTAATTTGCTTGACTATGTACTTGTAATATATGAACAAGGTAATTCCATGCTAAGCAAGAGATTATAAATCGACAATAATATTATTTTACAATTTTTTTTTACGTAACACACGTAGCAAAGCAAACGTAAATTTTTTACGCAAAATAATTTCGAGCATGAAAAATTCAAAACTTGGCATAGACAAGTGAATCATTCAACGTTATATTTTAGACTGACGTGAATTGCTACAACTGATGCTGTACTGACGCGAAAAAAACAAAAAAATACTCGGCACGACTCTCTGTAAAACTTTTACGAATGCCTACAGCAAAGTTAACCGAGCAAAACTGAAAGTAAAAAATCGAGTTAGTAAGGATTGTCTTTCGGTATCTTCTCCAAAACGATTTGCTTTTAGCTTCAGTAAAAATGTTATTTCATCTTCAAACGGCCCTTTTTTCTGTAATACATAAGTTATGAATGTTTTGATGTAATCTTCAGCTCTCAAGTCTCTTGCATCTTTTGTCGTAACGCTTCAACCAAGATATCCTGTCCCACACATACCCACACTCACACACAGTGTCGATAATATCCGCGAGCGTCACAAAGACCGCTACTTGGCATACGTGCCCTACTACTTCTTGGTAATATATAGCTGTGCTCGTGCGTTTGTGTACGATCTTCTAGCTTGCCTACTCGCGCGTCCCTTCCCTTCATTTTCCCTCTCGGTATAACCTTTGCGTCAGAGACGTGACGCGTGTTTCACGTTGATGCTGCAAAGGATTTTATGACCCGTACGGCGGCGCGCGTAAAACTTACCCGAGCCGTACCTATATAAACAGATTTATATAAATGTCCGCGAAGCGTAACAAAAATTTATGCCATTAATGTTTCACGATTCACGGTTGGTCAGAAACAAAAAATAAACATCGCTAAATATATACATTACTGAATGTCTAAAGATATTCAGCGATTAATTTTGATTTTGTACAAATCAGTTTAGTTTTTATCATAATTGCATTGTTCATATTTTATTCTCGTGGCTTCGGGCGTTTCACGCTGTTGCTTATTCGTGTAATCCGATACGTATACTTATTTGTGAAAGCTCGACGCATATACAGCTCGATCGAATGTTTTAACACGATGGATTTTATGTACCTTGTATAAATGTTCGATCATCGCTAAAGTGTTTTGGGATTAGCGATGTCCTTTGGGAATACCAAAGAAGTGACAATAAATCTATCTTGTTTTAACATCGGTGTAGATGTACGTACCGAGTTTTTTTTCAGAATGTAAATCTATGCTCTCTGACCAAGTCCTGCGAACGTAGCCATTAAAAAATTCAAGCCCCCTGCAAAATGTACCGTAAAGCTTTTGAGAACAAATCTCATTAGGCAATTTTAATACGAAAAATTTGAAATTCAAGAATCGCTGAAGGTCGTACGAAAGCTTGGGCAAAGTTTATGAGCCAACTTTAACAACGGCTTTTCGGAGAGAAAATTTAGGCATTCGTTTTTTATTAATTTCAAACGGATCCGTGACGTGAGACATTTTGAGTTGCGAAATAAAAAAATGAAAAAAATTTCCAGACTGCAGGTGGATGATACGTACACGACTTATAACGAGTTTGACTTGAGAAACGATCGAAGAAATGCATCTAAATTTACAAAATGTTATTTGTAACCATCCGACATTCGAATAACATCAGTGAAAAAAACAAACTTTAAAATAGTTTATCCGTGTTCACTTAGAAGATGAATTATCTTCACCTCTTGCTCATAAATACTCGTGTACAATACTACATATCATGTTATTTCTATCAGAAAATCCATTTTGAAAATTATTATCAAGGGGGGAAATAGATTTTGTTCCGTAAAAAATTTTCTTAACGGATACTCTCATTATCATAGAAACAATGAAATCAAAACATGCTTACAAAAATCGAAATAAGTTATTATTTTTATCTTTGAATATCTATAGCAAATCTATACATAAATCGATTGTTAATTTCTGCTTTAAAATCTGTAATCAGGACGGCTGTATCATAGCAAACACGCTAGCACTTCTGAAAGCTTCTTGAAAGCATTTGGAAGCTTCCGAGAAAGTTTGGGAATCTACCAGTAAGCGTTTATGGAAGCTTTTAACCCGTTTCGGGTCAAATCGACGAAATTTCCCACATTTTTTCCGGTGCTATAAAATTTGTGAAAAAAATATATGATAAATGATTGAATAGACATTTCTAACGCGAAATTTTATGAACTTTCCGAATCCGGTGTCAGAATTTTCAAAAGAGTCGAAGAGCCCAAGTTATGAACAATTAAACAACAAAAAACACAATTTTTTTGGAAAAAATTTTGATTTGACCTAAATTTTCGAATCAAAAGAGACTTGATCCGTAGGGCTAACACACATTTTTTGCGTCCATGGGGTATCGACGTAAAAGTTCCATAGTTACAATATCGAAATTCAAAATGGTGGACAACAAAATGGCGCATTGTAAAAAAAACCATGTATAAACTTGATACATTTCTTTATATACTAACCAAGCACCTAGGAAAAAAACTTTACCTAGAAAAAGTTCTTAGAATTGTTCAAAAAAGACAGCTGAATTTAAAAAATCTTAAAAATTTCAGACTTTTATAACGTATAACAATTTTTCGTTTAGTTCTGCCTTGGCTTGCAGTTCAATTTTTTAAATAATATCCGAATGAATTATTCAAGTAATAGCGAGCTGGGTCACGTAGGTTACTGCTTTGGTTTGCAGTACTATTGTTTAAATAATATCTGATTGAATTATTTAAGTAATAGCGAGCTGGGTCGCGAAAGTTACTGCTTAGGATTGAAGTTTAATTTTTTCATGCAATAGTATGACGAAAAATGTCTTTTTTTACACTGCGTGCGCGAAACGCGGGTTTTCTAACCTTAAAGCGTCAGAAAACCCTAGTTTCTCGCAAGCAGAGTTAAAAAATATCGTTTGCAACTAGTCCGCGAGGAAGTTGACTCACCCAGGAGTCTTTGCACCCTCGCTACGCTCGGGTGAAAACAACTCCTGGATGAGTTAACTGCTTCGCGCATTTGTTACAAAATATACTATAACAATACATTTTTACCTTTTTACTGTTGTACTTGTATGACTCATTTTTCATTATTTTTCTCAAATATAGTCTCTTGAAGCTAGAGTTACATGAAAAATATGCCAAGTACAGAGGGCCCAGGTAAAACAAAGTTATTCCAGTATCACAACATTCTCTTGACATTGTATAAATGTGTGTAGTTACACCTATGTAGCGCAAGATGGGTAAAAGTGACGAAAAGTGTACAGCGAAAGAAAAATATTTCACCTCGTTGGGCGAAAAATACTTGAAACTCGTATGATTAAATCTTCATACGAGTACTGTACAGGGAAAATGAAAATATTTTCGTCAGCGCAAATTTTTTCCGAGTCAAGTTCAATAAACTTTTTGACATCAGCTCGTCATGAAACATTCTTCAATTATATATTTTTGAAGCGCGTGTGAAAAATTCGTATAAACAAATTAGATGTCGCGTTGATGGAAGTAATTTTGCGAGATTTCGTAAATTCCCAGGTACATTGCGCGTGTGTACGCGGCAAACAAAGGGCAAGCCAGTCTCTTGAAATAAATATGCAAATTAAACTTACTAAAGAGCTAAAGCAGAGAGCTGTATACAGCGCTCGGAGCTATGCGACAAAGGAAAGTTTCGTAGCGCGCAAAGAAGAAAAACGAAGGGAAGCGCGCGCGCGGACAAAAAGAATAACAGCAGAAATAAAGCAAAGAAAAGAGCTGGAAGAAAAGCTCTGGGATGTGAGTAAGGGAATCTTTAGCTCGAGCCGGAGTAAAAGTGCGAATGCAGCATTAAAGCTAAACATATATGGGTCAAAGGGGTGGAGAGAGGCAGAGAGGCAGAAGAGAAGCATCTGTGTGTTATCCTTGAAACCACGAGAAGGGAGAGAAACACAAACCCGCGAGTGCGGCGCGCGGCGATGGCATTACGTTGTATAGCTCATAGAGGCTCACTGCACGACTACTGCTGGTATATATAGCCCAGGGTGGTGGTCAAAGTCCTTTGGCCATTCGCGCAGTCGAGAGCAGCAGCAGCAGCAGCAGCAGCAGCAGTAAGGTGTATTTCAAGTTTTCCCAGCGTATAGATCCGAGAAGCCGAAAACTATCTCGGATAACAGGTTCAAGTACCCGTAAGCGTGGAAGGGTCAGCAGAAAAAAAATTTGAGTCATGGGACGGTATAATGGACGCTCAATGCGTTGTCCATCTTGCGCACTCGTATATATAATACATATTTTTTTGTCAGTTGTTTACGCCGAAAAAGCTCGTATCCCTTCGAGGGCGAGATTGAGAGCCCCTGCGCGAATTGCGCCTCTGGCTTTTGGAATAACAATTTAATGTTCACCACTGACTGTGTATGTTGTGAGCGAGCAACTTCAAAAACCACATCTGACGCGTTGTTAACCGCTTTGTTTGAATGTTACGTGCTTTTGCACTATGGCTTTGCTTACGCAATATATAAACACAAATGTATGTATACACTCGACTCGGAAGCGCAGTGCATTCGGCACAGAGAAAGCCGCTTGTTTATTGATAGTTAAAAAAAAAATTGAGAACAATAGTCAAATATTTATATCCTATTTGCAGCGTGTGTAATTTCACACGTGCACGCGTCGGTGTGAAGCTGTAATCGCGTCGAGCCGGTTGATAAAAATTATGAAACCCTTCGGTACTCGTAACGCGCTTTGACCCCGTTCGATGCCCTCAAAAGCTGCTTCACTTTTGCCCGGAAATGATAGTTTTGCAATATATGTGCGCGATCGTGTGAGAGAGAGAGAGAGAGAGAGCAAAAGTTTCTGCGGGTAAAACTCACGTGTCGTGGAGTCGAAACTTTGGCGAAAATTTCGAATCGCGCCTTGCAGATCCTTTTTGCGATCTCGTATAGCTACTCGTGTATATGAGCAACTCTACGAAAAAATACTTGAAAGTCGCAGTTAAAAATCATGATTGAAGTCTTTGTTGCTTGACGCGTGTTATCCACGGAAAATTTACTGGCATTACTGAATTCACACGAACCTAGGGTGTTCGATATTTTATAATTTTACAATGAATAATGTGCTTTAAATTTCTCCAGTTTACTGATTTTATTTTAATCTAAGGATTAATCTTACAAAACAAGATACCTTCGAAGGAGTTCTTATTTTTATTACAATGGAAATTATTAAATAAATTTAAAAAAATGTATGATAAATTGTAAATATTTATTAAATTTTAATGTGCTAATTATTTACCAAATCAGCTCAAGATTTGGCTTCAAGACTTCTATTTTGTACTAATGTTTTATCAATTATCGCAGGCACTAATGATACTTTTATTCATCTCATATGTGTGGTATTCGTAATAATATTTACTTTTGAACTTTACTCATCGCATGGATCGGTAATATAATCATGCAATATAACTATATATTTTTTTAAGATTACTCTTCACTGAAAATACCTTCCCACGTACAATAGACCCAATCTAATTCTGTCCGGTCCTCAGAATAGTGGAACGTGTATAAGCACAGAAATTCTGGCGTTCCAGCAGACAGAATTAGATTGGGTCTAGTGTATATCACAGGCGTGAATAATTTTGAAACTCATATTTTCTTATGTACAATATTGATGTGGGTTTTCAAATCATTTTTTTGTAAAAATGAATTTCCGCAAAAATCACCTGTGTGTCTAACATGATTGGGCTTTCCATCGATGAAAATTTTGAGGTTTTATATTTATTTTTGCACGTATGACACACATATTTTATAATATTGAGCATTGCATCGATGTGTTTTTTGAGATTACTCACAGTAACGAATGTTTTTCCACAAATATCACACGCATTATGGCTACGCTATTATGCTTCGCATTGATGTGGATTTCGAGATAACTCTTTTGTGACTATGTCTTTCACGATGTGAACATGACACCAGCATGTATCGAATCAATGTGTCTTTTGAAATTACTCCTAGTTGTGAATGACTTACAGCATGTAATTGCATGCATGAGTGATTTTATTATGAACCGAATCGATGTGAGTTTTGACACGACCTTTTTGTGAAAATGTCTTGCCGCATATATCGCATTCATGTGAGATACCATTATGCATCGAATCGATATGAGTTTTGAGAGTACGTTTATGTAAAAAAGATTTTCCGCATATGTCGCATGCATGTGTGATACCATAATGGATCGAGTCGATATGCTTCTTGAGGTAATATTTTTCTGAATATTTTTTTCCGCATATGTGACATGCATGTGTCATGTTATAGTGAACCGAATTGATGTGTAATTTGAGATACCCTTTTGTTGACATTTTCTTTCCGCAAATATCACATGCATGTCTGACGCCATTGTGTATGGAATCAATGTGGAATTTGAGACTACTTTTTTTTGTATATGTATTTCCACATGTGTCACAATGGTGGATGCTATCACTGTACACCGTACAAACGGGTATTTTGAAGTTATGTTTCTTGTCAAGCTTTTCGGTGATCCCTCTATTTTTATTTTGTACGGAAAGCTCGCAGTTGATATTCAAATTCGATCCTTCTGCATCGCCAAACAAATTCTTTTTTCACTTCTCTCTCGGATTCTTCTTTAATTATGCTATGACTGTTACAACTATTACTATCTTTTGTATTCCACAAGTTGTTTGGAAAGTAATCGTCATTTTCTCGAGCTACTAATGAATCCATATTGGGCTTGAAGTCTTCACATTCAACGACTATTTCCACTTCGTCGCCAAGTTCACATTTTCCAAGTTCATGAGTCCGTTAAAAAATTAAATATAAGTTAGATATATTTACAATGCGATTCAAGTATATAAGTATCAACACCTACTGAATTGTTTCGCAGAATTGGTAAGAGTTGAAAGTTTTTGATATCAGATTTTTCGTCAATCATTTCACGATCATTTTCAATGAGCAGCAAATCACAAGGGTCCTCTTTCACTCTGAAATAACCTCAATAAAATCAAGTATTCTGTTATTATATTCTTATGGTTTCATTCTTTTGAAAAGAAAATTACCTGACATCACACTTAAGTATACCACTGACTTCCATCTTTCTCTCTTTAAATCTTCCGTAAGCAATTAATTTTTTTGGTCTGATATTACCTTCTCAATCCAATTGTACACTGAAAGATTGCCGAAAAGTACAGAGCTGCGTGCTCGCTGTGTTTCAAAAAACTTTGTCCAACGCGAAACTGCGAATAGCGTCGCCTTACGCGCGATCGGTGCCTTGTAGAGTCGTAGCGTAGCGCTATGGAATGCACGCGGCAAAACACCGTATCTGGCTACACCACGGAGAGGTCTGCATCTATAAGCTACGCACAAAGTAAACAACTGAATGAACACAGCTCTTGTCTTTTCAGTGAATCATCGTGCAATTTTTCGTGAAATTGCACGATGAGCTGCAAGAATCAAGTATCCAAAATTGCAAAGAACCCAGTAAATAGTTAGCACGTGATGTTATAAGGGTTTAAAATAAAATACCTCCACGATAGAGAATGAAAGTGCAATGACAGTTGATAGTGCGAGATTCAGGCGAGGCACAGTCATATTAGCACAATTTCTATTGAAATTTTATAAAAACATTATGCATAAGTATCAATGCTTATTTACCATTGTTAATTATCATTTTTTTCTCTAAATTGTAATAAAATAATAAATTTGTTGCAAGATTTTCTTCTCAGAGAGCTGTCCCACATATTTTGAACAAAAAATTCCACTATTAATTTTAATATACAATATGAAATAACTTCTTTTTACTTTAGTGAGAAATTAGTAAGATTTAGGCCAGAGGAATTCACTCCATTTATTAATTAGTTCAGTCGGAAAATTGCGAGACTCGAGATGAGAGCAATCGAGCTGTCTCTCGCTTAAAAAATAATGTCAGCTTTACAAATACTTATATTTAATGATTAGATTTTTTTGAGGAGCGTCTCGAACAACTGCTATGGCAGAAGTGATGTTCTCTTACTTTTTTGTAGAAAAAGAGAGAGAGCCGCGAAGAACAAATAAACGAACAATGGTTTTTCAGTAAAACCTCAAAGTTCATCACTATATATATAGTAGTAGTATATATATAGTTCATCATAATATAATCATCATAATCGAACAAGAATAGGAAATTGTTTAATAGTATATTTTACCACAAAAGCTTCAAATAAGCGGAAATTTTGCGACCAAAGTTTCATACTGTAGGTAAGAGTGAGAAAATCAATTATTTGGCGCTAGAACGTATGCGAAATTTGTAATCAACACTCATATACTTGATTGAAATATTAAATATTGTATACATAAATTTAATCAATTCAAATTGAAGAATTCGAAAAAGGCGCCATCATATGTGTTGAAGCTTGTCGTAACAGCGCGTTCATTTCGATATTACGTTCAAACCGTCAAATTTTAAAGAGGGGATCGGATCGAATTTTTGAACGAATTCAATGTATCATCTTGAAACTGATTTTATTAGTGATACATATCGCTACAGTTATTATTGACATAGCTAACGCTTTGGGTGTGTTTATATTCCGATTGACTTTTTCAGTTATATTACAATGAGTGATAAAACTAATAGTTCGATATTAGATGTTGAAAATATGGTAAGAATCAAATATATTTACATAGTAGTAAATTCAAAACGTTTTCATAGATTTTTTGTTCATAGTACATAGTGTATAACTTCTCGTAAATTACATTTCGTCAATCTTATTAATATAGTTAACAGTTATAGTAGAATCATAAGATAACAGTTTTACTTTACATTTTTATTGACATATTATATTTACATATTATCTTTCTCTTTCATAAAAACATTTACATTAATTTCAGAGTGACGAAAAAGAAGATTCAAAAGTCGACTCCAAAATCGATTGGAAGGTAAGTACATTGAGAGGGGAAAGGTATCTACAAATCAAAATTTTTTTATTTCCGTATACCTGACTCATTAAATTTTTTTTCTACTTTTGGACTCTCTGGCGAGTTGTGTTTATGCTCACCTGTCGTATCTTTCATCGAGTACCGATTGAGCTACAGCACTAGTTCTTAGAGAGGGCACTTCTTCAAAACATCATTATTTGCCGCATTTTAAATCATTAGAGTACTGACCTATGAGTTTGAACACTCCTAAAGTGCTTGGGGCCGTAGTATTGATGTTCTGAGGAAGTGTACGCGACCTTGGTGCTGTAACTTTAAGGGTTCGCCCTAAATCTTGCAACAAGTGACCAAAAACATAACTTGCCAGAAAGCGCCAAGAAAGAAAAAATTCAACACATCAAGTATACGAAAAAGGCTTATGAAAATAGCTGCACTCAGCTGCAATTCAAAAATTTTCGAAAGAGGAGGAAAAGTCCAACTTTGAAATGATATCAAAATTTTTAGGTATTTTTTGCCCCTTGAAATATACAGAAAATTTTTCAGTGAATCAGAAAGTTTTGAAAAAAATAAATACAGTAGAATTTAAAAATCATAGTTTTACTATAAACTTTTATTGATAATCTTTCGTTTCAATATAAAATTTCTTTTCATTTCAGGGAGAGGAATTTCAAAGATTAATTGAAAAGCTGACACCAGAGGACGACGATGATGATAACGATGGTGATGGAGAACGTGAATCGATTGTTCGCGAGAGCCGTAATGACAAAGAAAAAGCAGGTGGATCGAGTAGCGGTGAGAGCCGTGATGATAAGTTGGAAAGTGATGATGAAGAATCGGAAAGTAAAGACGACAATCCCAATTGTCCTGTTGCATCCAGTAGTTCTGGACCCGGTTTGAAACCCGATGATAAGAGGTTTGAGACCCGGGCGAGTGAAGAAGAAAAAAGAGAATACTATCAAAATAAAATCAGTCAAATCGAATCTAGCGCTGATGAGGACGATGATGATCAATGGGAAGACATTGATGACGAAGATAATGTGGATATGTCACAACACATCATAGACGCTTTGAAATATTATGGCTTGCTTGGGAGCCGTGATGATAACGAATCGAAAAGTAAAGACGACAATCCCAATTGTCCCGTTGCATCCGGTAGTTCTGAACCCAGTTTGAAACCCGATGATAAGAGGTTTGAGACCCAGGCGAGTGAAGAAGAAAAAAGAGAATACTATCAAAATAAAATCAGTCAAATTGAATCTAGCGCTGATGAGGACGATGATGCTCAATGGGAAGACATTAATGACGAAGATAATGTGGATATGTCACAACACATCATAGACGCTTTGAAATATTATGGCTTGCTTGGGAGCCGTGATGATGACGAATCGAAAAGTAAAGACGACACTCCTGATTGTCCCGTTGCATCCGGTAATTCTGGACCCGTTTTGAAACCCGATGATAAGAGGTTTGAGACCCGGGCGAGTGAAGAAGAAAAAAGAGAATACTATCAAAATAAAATCAGTCAAATCGAATCTAGCGCTGATGAGGACGATGATGATCAATGGGAAGACATTGAAGACGAAAATAATGTGGATATGTCACAACTCATCAAAGATGCTATGAAATATTATGGCTCGATTAAGCGCAACGAAAATGATCCGGAAGAAGTCAAAAGGCTTGAAAGGCTTAGCGATTTTGATAACCCTAGTGAAGAGGCGAAGCATTCGATTGCTACCGAATTCTGCCTGCGCGATGAATTTTCTCCTTTAAGAGAAGCATTGAGGTTGGGCAAAAAAGCCAGAAAAAATGATGTAAAGTGTAAGTGTTTAACTCCATTAAAATATTACAAATTAATTCGAAAATTAAGTAATTATTTGAAACCAATTTATTGTTTTATTTTTATAGGCTTGAAAATTCGGAAGGATCTCATTAAAAAAGGCGTTCCAGAATATTCACTTCCTCCGAAAACATATTTACAAAAAAAATACAAAAAAAAAAGTAAATATTAATTTTTAAATTTTAAATTTTGGTACATAATGAAATAGATATGTAAATAGATAGCAATTTATGACCTTTTTTTATGTGTAAGAAAATTTCTTGTAATTCTTTGTAATACATTTTTTACTAAAATTAATATGCACAACGAGCGTGAAAATATGCTCAATTTTATTTCAAAATTATTTCAAAATTGTTCAAATTTATAAGATTTCAAAATCAAAGGACGCGGATACAGTGTTCAGGTTCCTCAATATACACGAAAAATTATGATAAATTAATTTTAAAAGCATTCTATTCTACAATACTTTTACAGTAAGTTGAAGTTTATTAAGTTAAAAATAGCTGTTGGCAGGATACTTATCAAAATTACCATTGTTCACGCATCTTTCCATGTTGCTGGAATCACAACAAAACAAGTAACTCGTCAATTCACTTGTCTGAAAACAAAAATTTCAATCGTCGCTTGAGCCTCATATTTTGAGATTTTTTCACAGAATCGCTCATATGTATACGCGGCAATGGCAAAGTATAGAAATGGTAGAAAATCCATTATTGAGCACTTTGTCTACAAATTGGAAACATTTTCTACTAATACAACGTGGCGTACACTCTCGGCAGTTGAGAAAAATATAATATTATATTTTCCTCGATGGATAGTCCGTTTCCGAGCTGCTGCTACTGCAGCCCGGTCGATTTGCGAGTGTGTGGGTGTGTGTTTGCGCGCACAGTTGAAAAAGAAATCAAGAAATACGCTCTCTCGAGACCAGCAGGAGCAGCGGCCGTATTGTATAAGGCCAACTTTGTGTCATCGGCGCTTCGCGCGTAATGTAATATTTAAAAAAAACTTTTGCATCGCGTCGTCCCTCTTCTAATTATTCGAGTAAACTTTTGAAGGATTTTTATTATTTATGCATCTACTTGACACCGATTTTTTTTAAATCTGTATTAATTTGAGCCTGCGATTATAAATTTCATAATTAGTTTTCCAATAAGTCCAAGCTGGATCGAGCAATAATATCACGAATTTCGCAAAATACACTATATATAAAACAAGTATCTTTGGTTGAATCTTCGCACGAAACCTTTGATCGTAGCAAAAGCACTGTACAATTTTCCCTTCTTTCCGTCTTTAATCGAAGGGAAACTGTGCTCTCTCTCTCTGCTCGACTCTCAATTGTACTCGCACATTTCTCTCTTTCTCTCTCTCGCTCTCTCTGCAAGATAGGGAGAGAATAATTACAGGCTTTATTGTGCTCGTAATTGGCCTTTCGAAAAGCAGTTATGCAAACCCGACCGGCGTGGCAACGAATGACACTTCTTTCGAAGCAAATCAGCTTCTAAATCTGTGTGTGCGCGGTTGCACTTTTCAAGTCGTATTATATATCGATCGAGAGAAAAACGAGCTTTCGATGATGTTTGACCCGTTTTTTTATTATCGAAAGTATAATAGCGACTTACGCGACCAATATCATTGTTCGCATTCGTTCCAAAAGTATTTTTTTATCCATTTGTCAGATGAAAAGAAAGTTGTATTTTTCGAATTACTCGAAATTTTCCTCAACTGCTATATTTTGCCATCGCCACGTATAAATAAATACATACGAGCCCTTTCATAAAAAAACAAGTCAAAATGGAATTGTCAAAAGTAATTAAACCCAAAAACGTTTAAACGAATATTAAAAAGTAAAAAGGAAAGTAATTAATTCTAAAACAGTCAAAATAAGTCAAAGGAATAAAAAAAATTAAAGCTCAAAAGAGTCACAATGTAATTGAAAAAAACAGAAATTCGATATCGAGACAAGTTCTTGAAAATTCCATAAAAGGACTCTGAAGTTTCAGTTCTGGTGGTTATATTCTCTAAAATGCATTGTATATGAATTAACACCATAAGAGAAACTTCAGAGTCCTTTTTTGGAATTTTCAAGAACTTGTCTCGATTTCGAATTTCTGTTTTTTTTAATTACACTGTGACTCGTTTGAACTTTAATTTTTTTCATTCCTTTGACTTGTTTTGACTGTTTTAGAATTAAATACTTTACTTTTTTACTTTTTAATATTCGTTTAAACGTTTTTGGGTTTAATTACTTTTGACAATTACATTTTAACTTGTTTGAAGTTTCACTGATGGCTGTCCATAGACAGCTAACTTAATATTTTAGATTTACTCAAATTTCTTATATGTTCTTTTCAATTTAAATCTCGAAAAAGTGCAGCTCGATAATTAATTTGATTTGCTTTGCAATTTTCAAATAAATTTTGATATATTGTAGCATCTACTCACACGACATTGCATTGTAAATGAATTCGATTTGATTTTTATTTCATACGGGCCCACCGCCTGTTAAAACGTATTTCGAAGTCTTCTAATTATTTTATGCCAGAGCCGTTTTCTATAACAATGAACTATGGTAAATTAAATTTTCTATAATTCTTGCTTATGATACAATTAATTATTGAATTATTATATAATAAACTTTTCAGTGTGGTTAACGCTTGAAAACAAACATAAATTCAGTTGATAATACAAACTCTACCAGGTATCCATTTCGGAAATAATGACCATAGCACCGGACTGTTAAACTCATTAATTACACGTCTTTTTTTTCAAATTTATATAGGTCTATTCTTTATCCTTTTGCCGAGAGCTCGATGTATTTTATTGCTCTTTTTTACAATGATACTTTCGCGAGAGCTACTTCTACTTTTTGTGCAAATTTTTCTTGCGCCAGCTTAGCACTCGTGAGAGAAAGAGAGAGAGAGAGAAAAAATATATATATGGTCGAGCGCACTTTTTCAGTGTGCGAATCTTATATTAATGTTTGACTTTGGAGGCCTTGTTACACGCATTACTCCTGTGTATTATAAAGCGTTTTTCCGACGGTAAAATTCACGATAACATTCGTTAAATGTTATCGGTCTTTTAAATTCGGAAATAACACGATAAGCGAGCGTCAAAAATCGTATAATTACGAGTAAAATGTTGTTGTTGAAAGCACGCGCGTTTACACAAACGAGCATCACTGCAGCTGTAAATTTTTCCACGCGTAAACTCGTCAGACGCTCGAAAAAAAAAGTTCAATACTTTTGTCGGTATAAAAAGTTCACATTCTCGCTCCATCAGCGGCTATTGTCGACGTATACGTATATACCTTATACTACTACTACTACTACCACTACCTACCTGCTGGGCGCAACGCTGTTATTAAAGACAATGAAACATCGTCGATTCCCCCGGAGGCCCATCGAGACTTTGCTTATACATATATGTGTATATGCTTTAATGCACGCAGACATCGACACAGAGCTATGAGCGCAGGTGTGCGCACAGCAGTGCAGAGACTCGCACGCACAGGGAGTATTCCTTTCCAAGCGGTTTAACTTTTTAGCGAGCTACTACTGCGATACGTCGTGACGTATACGTGCGGGAGAGCGGGTGGGTGCGGCAGATCTTTAACGGCGCGAGTATACGCGTATACTACAGGGCATTATCTCGGAATTTTTTGAAACCACCACCGTCGAGAGAAAGAGAGAGAGAGAGAGAGAAAATGAGTAATGCGTCCGCGCGTGCGAGAAAAAAAAGGTACAGAGTATTATACTCCGTGAGAGATATATTGCAGAGGTTTGCGCGAATCAGACCGTAGCAAAATAGGCGGTAATAACGAGAGAGCGAGAGAGAGAGAGAGAGAGAGAGAATGGACGCGGAAAGACGGGAAAAAATCTACGGAAGTGATAAAGTGATATGGGTGCGAACTTTTGGCAAGTAACGATAATACGCGAAGAATCTGCATTTAACTGAATCCTCCTAAGCGGCGACGAATAATGCGCCACGTACTACGTGTGTCAACTAGGCTTGCGAGACAATAAGTGGCCCTCGCGCATACGTTGAAAGTTCGCTTGTGCAGCGTTACACGTGTGGTGCCGGTTCGCGTCATGCTTTATTTGACACGTAGCATATAAGTACATATGTACGAACTAATGTACACACCGCGCGAAGCAAGTTTCATACGGCGCGCTTGGCCAACTTTAATCCCTCCGAAGTGACTGCTGCGTGTAATAAACTTTTGCGCGCGTATAATTTAACTGGATGTCACTCTCGGGCTATTTAATTTAGGCAGCAGCCGTGCAACACGAGGCCGAGCCACGCGCGCGCGTCAAGAGTTTATTCGAGCTTGCACGCACACACACACGGGAGAGGGAGAGTAAAAAAAAATCCTTGAAATCACACGATGACGCGAGGTGACATTAAATTTTCAGTTGGTCGCGTCGATGTGCACGGCGGCAGCAAGCAGCTGGTAGCTGAAATTCATGAGTCCGTGCACAGGCGAAGCGACGACTGTCGCCGCGCGCGTGTCTGACTATCGATGCGCCTACGCTACTGTTGCTGCTGCTGCTGCTGCACATATGTATGTGCAGCGTTCACACAGCGCACACTGTGAAATTCATCGACTCTGCTGCTCCTGCTGCTGCAGCTGTTGAAAATTTAACCGAATTGATCAAGACTTGCCGCTTCCCAACTCGGTCGCGATAGATCGATGATATGATGGTTCTTTTGACGTTTATTATACACACACGCTTTGAATATTCCAATCGTACGTCTGCCCGTTCACGCACGTCGACGATGAATCGATTATTACGTATACCAGTTGTCTTTTGACATTGAATGGATGAATGAATTAATTTTTATGTTTTCTCGATATCAAGTCAAGTATACCGAGGTTGCGGAAATCTTAGAATGCATTGTAAAGATATCTACGTAATATATTCCTTTATGATTTCGTCCTTATCAATGAGTAAACTTGAGAAAATTCAGTTCAATTACGTCTAACGCTTGTGAGCAGGCACACTCTTCTGAAAAGTAAATTTACACCAGTAATAAAATAAAAAAAAATCTGTGGTTCGTTAAAGTTCAATAAGTACAAATACCGCTAGATTATTTCATATAAAAAGTACATATCGCCTTCGCACAGCACACTTGTCATAAAACGTTCATAAAGGCAAACTTTCTCTCTCTCTCTCGGCCTTGTCTCTCGCTCTTTCGTACACTTGAAAAGTTCAAAAGCTTATATAGCACCTTTTTGGCGACTGCGATAAAAACTTCAAAGTGTGGCAGCAGCAGTAGTAAGCGAGGGGTGGATT